TTAAGGGAAATAACCAAATGTCAGCCACACTTGTGTGGGACCCACTAGTTCTGAATTTTAATTCATTTGCTTGTGGCCTGTAAATTATTTTTACTCTATCCCTGGGAGGAAAAAGTTGGTCAAGTTAATATTCAGTAGAAATATTAGAAGTTTTAGAAACTTAAGAAATGTTAGAGGTTTTCTTTACATATTTATTACAGACTATGTCAGACTTTAGTTTGAATTACAGACTAAACTACTTGAAGGCATTTTACAAGCCCTGCAGCCAGATGAGCTGGATTTGGGTTCTGATTCTCTCTCAGATTGTGTGATCTTGAACCTGTCCGATGAACTTCTTTGGAGCCCCAGGTGTCTCATGTAAAGGTGAATGAGGAGTGCCAGCCTCAGAGCTAAGTGGAATAGCATAGAAGAAAGGAATTTTATTTCAGAGCGTTATGGAAATGTTAATCTTGCAAATGTGAGGCAATACCTATAAAGCTCTTAGAACAGTGCTGGCTACAGAGTATTTGTTGAGGGAATTACAGCAGCCCTGGGGATACATTTACTCAGGAGTACACAGTTATGTGATTGCACCAACGCTGCTTGCAAAATGACTTAATAGGGCCGCTTCGAGATGTCTGAAAAATAGAGTGCAAGTTTTATGAAAAATATTAGTCTGCAAATCAAACTCCATCACTTTGAAAATAGTTTCCCCTTAAGCAGTGCATAGTGAGGTTTTACTGCATGGGGAAAATTGTCGCCTTCTACCACAAAATAGAAAGTTGCATATCCAGGGCCATGGGGGCCAGGTCTGCACCGTGGCGTACACCTGGGGCATGGTTATTGCATTGCCAGAAACATCCGAGTTTGCCATCATGATGACAGACGGCGTGTTCTTCTTTTGCTAGAAATTCTCGACGGTCGATTAAAGTGGACGGGAAAGGAGAGCCCAAGGGGATGAAGAGGGCGAAGCCGGTGAGGTACACGGCGGCGAAGCTGCATGAGAAGGGCGTGCTGCTGGGCATCGACGACCTGCAGACCAACCAGTGAGTGTGACCTGGAATCCGCACAGAACACGCATCTCTGACCACCCCTAACATCTCACTCACACTCCTCGGGTTCCTGTGGCCTTTGAGGAGAGCTTCATTTGGTCTGTCAGGGCTTACCCTGGATGACAGGTGATGGGGAGATACGTGTGTTGTCATCTCTAGTCTTCCCAGCCGGCCTTGAGCACCTGGTGGGTTGTCTGAAGGGCTTATCAGGTTGTGTTTCCCATGGCCTGGCCAGTGTGTCTGGATTTGCCAGCCTCCCTGATCCCTCCGAAAGAACAGAGTCATAGCAGTGAGAATGAAGGCTGCCTTCTGGTCTCGATAAATTAGATGATTTACCATTGGAAAATAGTGCCTTTCTAATTTCAAAGCCACGGACTGTGTGCCAATGCCTGGGTCTGACACACCAGCCCCATGCTATTCGGGGGTGCCTTTGGCGTGGAGGAGAAAACCACTCCCTCTGCATCCCCACCCCAGGCGCCATCAGGTTTTCCGTTTTAAAGGGACCTGGAAAGCACCAAATGAACAAACAAGACAAACACAAAAAGTCATGGACACAGATGACAGTATGATGGCTATCCGAGGGACAGAGAGACCCAGGAGGTAGTAAAGGGTAAAGAGGGTCAAACATACGTTAACGGAAGGAGATTTGACTTCGAGTGGTGGGCACAGTGCAATATACAGGTTATGTATCATAGACTTGTACACTTGAAACCTACATAATTTTATTAACCAATGTCACCCCAATAAACTTAATTAAAAATAAAAATTTAAAGGGACCATGAACCTGATGCCCCATCACTCCCTTGTCCTTTGTCTGAGGGAAGCCAGATTCACTGCTCCTAACTCCTCACCTTCCTTCAGGGCCTGACTTCTAGTCCATTTCTCCCATCAAACCTCCTGACTGCACTGACTCAGAGAAAATGCTTCTTCCTATAAAATTTACCCCCTGAAATACTTAACTAGCCTGTCAGTGCTATGAGTCAATATTCAGTTCTCATATTCTGTGAATCCCCTGTATTTCCATCTATATTGTATGCTCTTTAAGAGCAAGGACCATATTTTGCATTTCTTTCGTCATAAAACACCTACTCCAGTGCTCTGTGAGTTACCTCAACAAGAACCATGAAGCATCGTTTTAGTGAGCAGAGTGGGGGAAAGGATGGGAGGTTTGGGATGACTTAGACCATTCAATGAGAATGACAACTGAGGATTCCGTTAATGTGTTTCAGCTGTAAGCAGGTATTTGTAGTTCCACATATGTGACTGTCCCTTTCTTCATTAGGTTTAAAAACGTTACATTTGATATCTTATCCACTGAAGACGTGGGCATCTTCGATGTCAAATCCAAATTCCTGGGCGTGGAGATGGAAAAGGTGCAGCTCAATATTCAGGTAAGCTGGGATTTCTGAGAACGGAAGGTAAGCCCTGAAATTGCCTCTTCACGATGACAGTGAACTTCAGCAAAGAAGGCCAGTGTAAGCCTTATTGGCCAATATTAGCTTTGGATGCATTGATTATTTTTTAAAGGCTTTGATTTTTCAAATTATTGGAATTTAAAATGCTTTTAGGTGGTAAAACCATGTTTCCATTTTGAAGCGTAGAGTAGAGCATAGTAGGAAAGCATTCGGAGCTATTAGGTGGAGGCTGGAGAGTTTTCTTTTATTAGGAACTTGCACTTCTTTCTCAGACTGAGTGTGCCCAGGATTGGAGCTTTCCCGTTTGCATTTCTCCTCCTTTTTCCCTCTTCCTCCCTCCTCCTTCCTGGAGTGTTTTTTACATGTTTCTTAAATCTATTCATTTGTTTGGGATCATATGAATGAACGACTTTGTGCAAAACAGGTCACTATAAATAGACAAATGATATTTGCAGTCCGAGTTCTTGTTATTTTCTCATCGGAACTACATTTAAGCCAAATATACTTGAACAGAAACTGAGAAACCCAGTCTGTGTCACCGTCCTCCAAAAATGAAGGGAGGGTACAACCAAACATTTAAGTTCATCTGCTCCCAACTTTTTAATTCTTAGCACAGAATCAATTTAGAGAAATAAGTGAGTTTTCTTTTTTGTATAAGAATTTTTAAATGGCAATGACGCCTATTTACTTGGGTCCCAAACTACTTGTATGAAATGGTTTTCAGGTATTCTACATGAATCATCTTGACGAGCCCCGGGCATGATGTATGTCCCAGCCTCACTGCCCGCCCAGCCCAGCCCTGAGATCCCTGAAATTACCTCCCTCCAGGGAGCAGATACCAGAGCCCTCTTTTCTATCTAGCCTTCTTGTAACTTAAAACGAAAATGGGAGCTAAATGGGCATGATAAAAACAGTGAGATAATGGAGTAAATTAGAGTATAGAGAGAGAAATAAAAGACACTATGTAATTATGAAAAGTATACTTAAATAAACAGTATTGTTTTCTAACTGAATTTAAATATCACTAACTGTACCCATCTAACAATTTAACAATTTAAGTCTTGAGTTACTTCATGTAACACTTTGACAAATATGGGAAGAGAAAAGAATGCTCTTTGGTTACCGATTCTTCTCCAGAGATGGCAGACATAACATGCGATTGCCAGGCAGGCAAGGACCCAAGACCAATCAATATCAACTGGACAGATGAATGCCAAGTGACCAAGAGACCCCTGTTTAGAAAGGCCCCAGAAATTCCATGCCATTTCCTTTGAACACGGATGCAAATACCAAATTTTGTTAAGGATTTAGTATGCAGTGGGATCAGCTATTCATACCATTCATTTATCCACATAGTTGTGAAATGTTACTCCTTAGCTAATAAGCCCCAGATTTTTAAAGTCATTACCATATCATCAAGACCACCTATAAGATTTGCAAGGCTTGATGTAAACTGAAAATCATATTCGTTTTTATAATTGTTGAGAATTTCAAGATGATGACAGCAGCACATTAAAGTACAGGGCCCTTCTGATGATGAAACCCTGCACAGGATGAATGTCCAGGAGCTGGCCCTACACATATCAGCTGTCAGACGTAAAGTCGGGCTTCTATACGTGTAGCTTTCAGACAATCACATTATCAAGTGAATTACCAAGAGAAACATGATGACCAGATCTTTACTCTGAGTCAAGAAGTTTCTAACAGCCCTAGCTGGTTTGGCTTAGTGGGTAGAGCGTCGATCCAAAGGCTGAAGGGTCTTGGGTTCAATTCCAGTCAAGGGTGCTTACCTCAGTTGCACGCTCAACCTCCGGGTTTAGTCAGGGTGCGTGCGGGAGGCAACCAATTGATGTGTCTCTCTCACATCGATGTTGCTCTCTCTCTGAGTGTCTCCCTCTCCCTTCCACAAATCAATGGAAAAATATCCTCAGGTGAGGATTAACAACAAAAAAAAGTTTCTAACAGGTGCAAGGAAGATGCCGTGTAGCATTGTGTCTAGGTTTACTTCAGCCCACTCTTCCCTTAGTTCCTAAAGGTTATATCCTATAGCTATAGGCCAGTGATGGCGAACCTATGACACGCGTGTCAGAGGTGACACGCGAACTCATTTTTTTGGCTGATTTTTCTTTGTTAAATGGCATTTAAATATAGAAAATAAATATCAAAAATATAAGTCTTTGTTTTACTATGGTTGCAAATATCAAAAAATTTCTGTATGTGACACGGCACCAGAGTTAAGTTAGGGTTTTACAAATGCTGACACGCCGAGCTCAAAAGGTTCGCCATCACTGCTATAGGCTATATACGTAACAGGAGGGTGAGATTTACATGAAGATGTTCTGCTCATACAAATAATGGCTTGTGCTTACTGAGGCCGCAGGGTTGGCATTCTCCCTTTCCCAGTTGAAGAACGGAGGTGCAGAGAGCTGAGTAGGGAAGAGGCAGCTGGAGTCCACGGCCTTCATTGCTCTGCTCCACTGCCTCTCTCACAGCTTCCAGCCGATCCTGACAAGAAAAGGGTTTGCAGATACCTCGATCTCATATGCCCAGTAACTCTCCTGTGCGGTTCAGAGTGTTACCCTCAGTTTACACACAAGGAAACAGGGGTTATGTGACACTGCAAGATCACAGGATAGCAAATGGTGGAGCTAAGACTAAAATCTGGTCTTCCGATGGCAAATGTAATGATTATATGTTCTCTGCTCCCCACCTGGGGGGCCCAGCTAATTCCCCTGCATTGGCCATTCCTTCTCAACTTAATTCTATTGATTTCTTTTCTGAGAGATTTGGATGAACAGACTTTGCCTTTCCCAAAGGAAGAGTGAACCACCAGTACACTTTAGTAGGTAAAAGCATTCTTGATGAAAGAACTTCAGTTCCCTATGGAATTTCCGTCTCAGACGCATATCTAAATAATGTAAGGGTTTAGTTGAGTGCATTTGGAGGTAATTGAAGAAGTAGAGGAGGAAGCTAACAAGAGCCAAGTTCTCTCAAAAATTATTTCAACTTCTTCAGGTGGCCTTCCTTAAGACATTGTCATTAAGAACCAAGAAATTTCCAGAGCTAGACATAGAACATTATCATTAAGAAAGAAATTTCCAAAGCTAGAAATAAGAAAAGGAGACCTGGGTATTAGTCTGGGGCAGTTCTGTTTGGCAAAGGTCTCCTGTCCTCTGTATTTTGAAATGTTACTGCTTAGTCTCATGCATATAACTGGTGGGACCCAGTTATGAATTTTAGCAGGTGAGTTTATTTTCTTTGTTATATGGTGGCAGGGGAACACAGAATGATAGACTGACTTGGGAATGAGGGCTTGTTCTCAGTATAGGAACAGAAGTAGTCCGGGTCAGAAGGAGTTAACTTTGTACAGCAGGTCTCCAAATTTCAATCATACAACTTCAGAAATAAATAGCATGATCATCTCACCCCATTTGTACATATTTATTTATAAAGTATACTTGCATCTATCACTATACTGAAAATAGACTTTATAAAATATATACAAAATTTAAATGTTTAAAAAGTGAACAAAATAAATAGTTCTCTATTCTTTTTACTCCTTAATGAATTGTGTTGCTCAGTTCACTTTAGAAAACACTGTTGTTCTAAAGGATATACCCCATCTTGCTGGAACATTTGTTTTGAATTTTTCAATTAAAAATTAAAATTATATATCTGAATTAACTTAATCATAATGGTTTTCTTCCAATGGTCTTTATCAGTTCTAAAAATCTATTTCCTTTCATTTAGGTAAGTGATTCTCAAAGTACGGTACCCGGTACCCGGGCCAAAAATATAATCATCATGATTAGGCACTTGTTAAAATGCAAATATTGGGGCCCCACCCCAGAGCTACAGAATCAGGAATTCCTGGGTGTGGGGCCCAGCATGTTTTAACTAGCCCTGTTTTAACCAGATGATTCCGACACACGTGAAAGTGTAAGAACCCCTACCTAGGTCATTAGGTCACTTGAATCTTATTTTTGTCAACAAGCTGTTCTGGAATGTTTTTCAAATGTGCTAAATGTCAAGTTTGAGATTTAATGATGTTCCTTAAATTTCAGGATTTACTTGAGATGCAATATGAAGGAGTAGCTGTAATGAAAATGTTTGATAAGGTTAAAGTGAATGTAAACCTTCTCATATACCTGCAGAACAAGAAATTCTATGGAAAGTGAAGTGCCTGCAGAAATTTCGTGGATTCGGTATCACCTGGATCGGGAAATGAATCTGTTTCGTATTTTTGTTTTTAAACATGATTGGAATCACTGCTCATAAACGTGTGATTTTTTTTTAAAAGACCAAAACTGTTCCGAGGGATGTACCCACTGTGCCTTTTTAATAATTTGATACTGTACTAGAACGACACACAAAACGAATTAACGTAAACACTTCCACATCATACTGTGGAATAGGTCCTCTGATTTAAAACTTCGGACATTCTGTGATTTGTGTTAAAGTAGGGAGAAATGAATTTAGCTGACTAGGGACAAATGTGTAAACCTATTTTCCTATGAAAAAATTTTAAGTGTCCCATTTGAATAATGTAATTCTTCATAGATTTTTTTTTAATCTGTGAAGAAATGGAAACCTAATTATTTGTAATGAATTATTTAGACAGATACTTAGTTCTAAGCCCTGTCTTCTGGGAGTTATCAATTTTAAAGAGAACTTTTGTGCAATTTTAAATAAAGTTTTTATAAGTAATTGAAGGTGACAATAACACTTTCTGTATAAAAGTATATATTTTATGTGATTTATTCCTACTAAATGACGTGCACTAGTGCCTCATGGTAAAGACTCTTGTACTCAGAGCCTGTAAGTGACTAAAGAACATCGTGAATAGCGATTCTTAGGCCCCCACCTCTACCCTTCACAGTTTATTTGAATACTTCAATTGTGCCTCTCAATTTTTGTAATGCAATAAAATCAGTATTTAGATGGTTTTTAAATGTATTCTTTGAAAATTGTTCCATGTAAAATAAATGTTACTGAATTCATTAATTTGGCTTTTTAGTTGTTTCAATAAATCCAAACAGTTTAGTGGGGAAGTTTTGTGGTGGGGCTTATCAGGGAAAGAAGGAATACCCCTATAGTTGTATGCATTAGGGTACAGAGTAAGCTGCTGTGACCAAGAGATCCGAAACCCTGTGGTTGAAGCAAGATAGATGTTTTTCTCAAATTCAGTACCTCCAAGGCTTTCCGGGGATCCGGCTCTGTCCTTGTCACTGATTCCTGGCCAGCAGGAAGAGGGGAAGAAGTCCAGGGCGAGCATTGTAAGTTACACGTGTCACCTCTGCCTATATCCATTGACCAAACAAAACTTCAGTCATGTGGCCAGAGCTAGCTGCAAGAGAGGCTGGGAAATATGGTCCCTAACTAGGCAGCCAGGTCCCCAGTTAGAACCTGGGGTAGAGAGGGCAGTGGTTCTATTATTAAAAGGGAGAGTGATTCCTGGGGACAGTTTAGCAGTCTCCACCACAAAACTAATTCAGACTTTTGGGTTGGAACCTCCCTGACACTTCGTATTCTGTTCATTCACTCAACAGGCTTTATTTTCAACAGAGATTACCAAATATTGAGAAAGTGGGCTAGCTTTTGCACACTTGGCACAAATGAACTTTCAGTATTAAACCAATAGAATTTGGAAAATCGAAACTTTAAAAAGTAGAATCTGCTACTTTAGTGATTGTTTCAGGCTATACATATTTTTGACAAAAAGATAAACACTTCAAAATAATGCTCCTTGTCTCATCGGTTTGTGGATGTGTTACGTTGTTGTTGTTGTTGCATTAACCTTAATACAGACTTCTGTAAAAGGAATCAAATGAACAGTTAAGTTTCACCTTGAGAATAAACCTCCCTTTCCCCTACAGCCAATATTAGCTGAGGAACAGGAGCCGAGGGATAGTAGGAGGTAGGTGAAGCTTCCTAGTTCATGCTGCAGAAAGGACTTTTTGTGGATAAATGGTAAAAGCCAAAATTAGGGAGAGAGATCTGGAGACAAAAGCTAACCTTTTGTAGCCTCCTAAAAGGTGCTTGTCGCCTGGCTGGTGTGGCCCAGTGGTTGAGTGTAGACCCATGCACCCAGAGATTGCTGGTTTGATTCCTGGCCAGGGCACATGCCCAGGTTGCGGGCTCGATTCCCACTAGGGGGTGGTGCAGGAGGCAGCAGATTGATGTTTCTCTCTCATCGATGTTTCTATCTCTCCCTCTCCCTCTCCCTGAAACAATTACAAATGTATAATAATAATAAAAGGGGCTTGTTAACTTATTCTAACAGCGAGTGACCTGCTTGAGTGTTATTTGTATGAATAAAGATCTTTGTGTATTGCCAAGCCCTACAAGGAAAGCTCTGACTGTTTTCTCTGTTGGCCCACAGATGAGGTTATTTTTCAGGATATTTATTACCAATGGCTGCTGAATGGGTCACCCAGAGGAGAAAGCATTCGAAGAGGAGGAGCATGAACAAGAAGCCAGTGGAGGCGTGGAGACTGTGCCTCTTCCAGGAGGGGGGAGCCACTTCCCAAACCAGGGACAGTTGTTCCTTATAACCCTGAGCTAGGGCTCCTGATCGATGCAGGGAGGAGAAACAATTGTCCTTCTACCCTCCTGAGTTCTAGGCTGAGATCCCCTACAAAAACAAAAACACATAGAAGTTTATTAACCTGTATGCCACATGTACAGTGGGAGGGGGCAGTTGGTGGGAGGTAAGGAGAGGAAACCAAGGCTGCCCTGCCATGTGGATGTCTCCCCGTTGAAATCGTGGTCTCATAAGAGCTCTCTTCCTGGAAGAGGCCCCCTTTCTAAGGTAAGTTCCCTTACCAAAGGGTGACTTCTACTCTGTCCTCCGAGCTTCTCCTGTATTTGTAGTTTCAGAATAATCAGCTAAAGGTCAGACTTGGCTAAGAGGCATATTTTGGGGTGATACATTTTGCTATCCTTGTCCAGTTTCCTCCACTTTGCAATTGAAACAATAACTTGATCTTTACATCGCTTACTCCTATTTTGACATGTGTTTCTCATGTTTCCACTGTTACAAAAATGGCCTTTGGTCTGAAGGTACAGAGGGTCCACGCTCCCCTGAACTCTAGTTTTTAGCCCCTTGGATGTAAAAAGGCAAAACAGACTTTAGAAGAACTCTAGCTACTATGAGGGAAGAAAAATAATTTTCCTTTGGAGGTTCCCTAAGAATAGGGGACACCAAGGCAAATTGGGCAGTTGAAGCTTATACACTGTTCTGGACTAAGGAGAGGAAGGCAGGAGTCTGGGACTTAAAAGGGAAAGTAGACTGTTTACAAAGAGAGAGAAAGAGCAAATGTTTGGTAAACAAACTCTTGCTGGGGCCACTGGGAAACAATGGGCACAGAGGCGGAGTCTGTCAGCTGCTGGATTCCTTCCTGTCTGCACCACCGGTTCAGGTTAAGCTGAGGTGTTCCTTTGAGGTAGGTTTCTACCTGAATTCCTTTAGGCAGGTAAGGGGGGAGGTTCTTTTAGTTTTTTGTTTCTTAAAAATAACCAACTTAAAATAATCAATATCCTAAAAGGCATATTGTGGGGTGGCAAACTCAACTTCACTTTGTTGGCAAAAAACGACACCATTGTCAGACAAGCAAGTCAGACCAGACCTCGGGCCAGCAACCTCGGTACTTAAGTTCTGGCTAAGAAATAATTCAGGTGGAGCGGGGAGAGGGGGCGGGGGGATATGGGCACATATATAATATCTTAATCAATTAAAAAATTGAAAATAAAAGAATTCAGAGCCAAGACTCAAACTATAAGAGAAAGTTTGCTCAGAAAGTCACCGAGGTAGAAGAAGTGAGCGGTGGAAGTAAGCTATAGAAGAAATGGGCTCAGGAAACCCGTTACAAAAGCAAAAAAAAAATAGGTCCTTGGAGCTTAGGAGAAACCAGGAAAACACCTGGGGGATGGGCGGGGACAGGCACAGGTGTGCTCCATAGAAAGAGCTGAACTGCGTCCTCTGGCTTGAGGGTATTTATCCCGGAGGTCTCCAGGCATGTCCTTCAAGGTCGTGATCTCTACTGATGGTCAGCACCAGGGCTGGGGATCATTAGTCAATGCAGCTGGTCCTGGCGTCTGCCGTGGCTTCCCTCGTTTGGTTTTGCTGCTTTTCTGGACCTGGAGCTGAGACACACTGAGGCCTAGCCGTGCTTGATGCAGGTCAGAACCTCATTTCTGTGGGGGCTTAGTGCTTACGGGCTATTTTCAGGCCCCTTTGTCAGTTCCGCCTCTAAGGGGACTAACCCGCATGCCAGTGGGGAAAGGTCAGGGGCGTGAAACCAGTGAAATGCTGGGGTGAGAGAGCTTACCCTGGGGGAGAGGTCCTTGTTTTCCCAGCTTTGCCTGTTGCTAGGCACCTGGGGCTTTCCGTCCTGGTGCCCTTCTGCACTTGGCCCATCATTCTTTCTCTGCTCACGTCTAACTGCCTCCCACACCCTCTCAAAGGATATGCTCTAGTGATCTCCGAGAGAGGGAAAACCAGTGCACGCTGGAATAAAGAGAACAACTCAGTTTTCTGACATGCACCACTTCCTTATGTCATTGAAAAAACAACCATAATGTGTGTGTGGTTGGGTGGTAATTAGAGGTGCTATTCATGATGTACGTTTTATGTCTTGGGCTGTGGTTTAGTAGGGATTTGTGGTACTCCTCTAACATCCCAAGAGGCAAACCACAGAACTCTAAGTGGTGAAAGTTGTCTATATTTTGAGAGATTCTAGTGAGCATTGGATGGTCTTACTGCTGATCGATGCTTTGAAAAATCTATTGCCTCTGTTACTGAAGCCAGGACTTAGTAAGAGGTTAAGATAGAATCCTCTTAACTAGTCTGTAAGCCCCAGAGGACAGAAACAGTTTCAGTCCCTCAGTGAGTCCAGAGCAGAGGGGGAGTCCCGAAGGCAAGCTGAGGAGACAGGTGGTCTCACTGTCATTTTCCTTAGGGTACAAAACCTCTTTAATCCATTGGAAGGTGTGATGGTTCATTTTTCTGTGTCGACTTGGGCAGGCTAAGGGATGCCCAGACAGCTGGTAAAACATTATTTCAGATCTGTGAGGGTGTTTCCAGAATAGATTGGCATTTGAATGAAGACTGAGTAGAGAGATCGCCCTTACCAATGTGGGCAGGCATCATCCAACCTACTGAGGGCCAGTTCTCTCTCCTCTTGAGCTGGGACATCCATCTTTTCCTGCCCTGGACGTCGGAGCCCCTGGTTCTCAGGCCTCCGGGCTCTGGCAGTTCCACTGTCACTGTCCTGGTTTTCCGGGCTTTAAACTCACACAGAATTATGCCACCAGCTTCTCCTGCTTGCAGACAGCAGATTGCGGGGCTTTGCAGCCTCCACAACCACATGAGCCGATTCCTATCATCTCCTCATATATATCTACATACTGGTTCTGTTTCTCGGGAGAACCCTCACCAATGCAGAAGGAAAATGAACAGATACTGGAAGTAAAAGATATCAAGTTCACTTTATATAACTCAAAAGCTTTTTCACTTGACCTTTACCTAGCACCCCAAGCGTAGGGATAGTCTAGCATCCTATCCATAGTATGTAACTAGTGGAAATATTGTCATTGACCCACTATGAGATTAACTGCTAAGCCCAAAATACCAGTGCAGGTTTATAACAGCAAAAGGCAGAAACAGGTCTTCCGCTGGGTAGCTTGTACCTTCATTACAGACCTACTGTTTACTTGCAAAATGAACGTGACGATAGCTGCACTGAGTCTGGAGTATCGCACAGCTGCTTTGAATACAACTTGATTTCATTTCATTTGAGTCCTGGTGTCATTGCCATCAGCTTCCACAAGGAAATGACCAGGCAGGTTCTTGGGAGCGATACACTGTTGTCCTTGCAGGGCTTGGAATAGAGGAGTGGTGGTGAGAATACCTGAAGCAGGTAGATCATCTGTGGGTTTAAAAGAAACTGCTTGCATGTCATCTTGGGGTTAAAACTCTCACAATTGTGATGTCATGTTC